AGTCAAAAACTTCAATCTCAAATTCATACCACCAAAGAGAAACAGAGCAGTGAGGGCCAGAAGGCTCTCAAGCCCATTTTTAGGAACTACTCTGTCCTCAAGAAATATCCAAGTAGGATTAGTGAAGGAGCATACTACAGCCATGAGGAAAAAAAAAAAAAAAAAAACACCACACCCCACACACACTTGTGTACAAGCCCCTTTTTACCAGGCAATTATGTCTTCTTGCATCAGACTTAACACACACAAAGGGAAAGCCAGCTCTGCAACAACATGCTAGTATCCTCAGTTTCTGCTTAAGGCCATATCACCTGTTAAGGAAGCCTTATCTGAGGACCTACTTCCAAAAAGAACTGATCTAACAGCCAGCTAACAGGCTGCTATTAACACACTAGCCAGGCATACTGCAGCTACTACAGTCCTGGTAGATTTTTATGCAAGTTTCCCTTTAGAGGGAAAGCTGCCTTCTAGAAAGATTCTGCTGCCTCTGAGTTCACAGAAAACCAAGTAACAGGATGCAACAGTTAAACATTTCAATTTTCAATCTTGGCATTGAGGCAGTAATACTTAAGTACCGCACTCACTTGTTTTAATGAGCTGCAGTTTTGCATCTTCTTTACAGTTCGACATTAGGTTACATATTCCAACTATAATGCTGTTGTGCCAGCTCAGACTGAAGTTGATTTAAAAATCTTATTTATACTCAAGAGTATAAACTCTTGCATGTATGAACAAGTCTTACAGATTTCTAACTTTATAATTAGAAGCTTTTCTCAAGAACAGCCAGTAGGGAGCAGCATACTATAAGTCCCTGCAGCCATAGTTGCATCACTTGTATAAAAAGTTGAAAGATCACAAATAACACCTGTTTTCCTAGTTACTTAGTTTACTTCCACCTATGTTTCCTGTTTGTTCAACTAGGATTTATCACAAGAAAAAAAAATAGCTTTAACAGGGAAATAGAATCAAACTGATTACTGCAACAACAACTTTACTTTGGGCACCAGCACTTTTAAGTATTTATGAAGCCACATTTGGGAGAGAATTCTGCAGCAAGATAAACCAATTATGTAAGTTATTTCCTAAAAATAGGAAGAAACTAGTCGGAAGAGACTATTTCTAGCTGGTCACTTATCTTGAGAGAGCAAGCCACATCTTTAGAGGCAGCTTTGTTTTCCCTCCCACAACTTTAGTGGAGTTCCTCAGCCTTTTTTGGTACACAAAAAGGCCAAAAAAAATCAGGCTTTGCATTGGTAATTTTATTCTGTCTAACCTGTCTTTCAGGACATGTTTGAGACTTGCATATATCCCTCAGACTTTGAACAGTCAAGCATGAAGCGCAGCTAGCTCTTTACAGACTCCTCATTCCTAGCTGCCTCCTGTCTAGACTCTAAACAAAGCCTCTGGTTTCACCTGCAAGAACCCTGCACCAGACACTAGTACCATTACACTGAGCCACTGCACTTGTGCCTAGAACATGAGCCAACCTCACTCCAGCACCGCCACCACAGCAGCTGGGGAATTCCACCCGAGCACTATTCCATAGCCTCCAGGCAGCAACCACAGTGTTTGGCTGCCCCTTATCTGCAAGTGAGCACAACTACCAATACAGCCCTCTAGTTTAAAGAGCTTTTAAGCCCAGCTTTTCATCTAGGTACTGCTGCAAACTAAGTTCTGGGAACAAAGTGCTGACATTTTGCTAGTACATAAGCTGAAGAATGGCACAAGACACTAGATTACGCCTTTTTTATTTCAAAAGCTAGGATAGCTTCAATATCCATGTCATGGTGAATCAGAACACATGTAAAATACCTTACAATACATTAGATTCCAAAAGGTACCAAAAAGTACAGTAAAATTAACACTTCCGTTACAGGAAATGTATGACACAAAAACAATACAAAATAAAAAGGTGGAAAGTGACACTGGTTCCCTAAGATGCATCTCATTCTGTACAACTGGAGTAATGCAGAGTCCATAGTTAACTCCAAGAGGCAGTCCCTAGATGCAGAGCTGCAGCTTTAAGCAGACCCTCAAAATCAGTTTCAGTTTAACCTATTAATAAAATCATTAATTAATATCTTCAGCAAGGCTGAAATTTACACACCACACTGTCTAGACAACTAGTATCTGTAAGTATTAAACAGGTAAAACATTTCCAGGGAGCTCTTCCAAGTAAGATGCACATTTAACAGGCCATAGAAATTTATTGTAAAGTTAAATTTGGTACAGAACTGAAATATCCATCTACAGCATTGTATACAAAACCTATGCAGTCATTTTCCAAAAGAGACCATGTCACTGCATACCTGAATAAGTTTGATCAATATGGCTTGTAGTTATTCTGATGGCCACCACGTCTTGGTGTCTTCCCATAATTTGCACTGCCTTGACCTATGAACAAGACAACAAATGCATTAAACTGCTAATTAGTTATGTTTGCTGATACCCAATACAGTTCTCTTTACTTACTGTAATCATAGCCTGGTCCATATCCATAATACCCATATCCTGAATAATCATAGCCTCCATAGCCACCATAACCTTGCTGATAGCCGTATCCTTGATTCCCATAACCCTGGTTCCAGTAATTGCCATAACCTTGATTCCAATTTTGACTTTGAGCTATAGAAGGGAAAACCATCCACAAAATCCCATTTTAGTACACACAGCTTATTTTTTAAAGTGTCCATACTAAAGTAGTGCGTGTAGTACTTACCACCGCCTCTTCCACCTCTGCCTCTTCCTCCATAGCTACCTCTTCCGCCACCACTACTGAACTGTTGCTGCTGGTAAACTTCTTTTGGCTGTGCTACCTTAATCTCACACTGAAAATAAAAACCAAGGAAGAGTATGTATATTGTCTTATAGCAGCAGTGCCCAAGCCAGCCCCCAGGGAAAGCCAGGGAAGTTACTCTAGAGGCAAAGGACAGGTACTGTGCTGTGCTCTGTCACCAAGACTATTGCACATCCAAATGCACTGACTTTGTGCTGCCTGGGCAAAGGTAAGTTACAATTAACTGTTCCAAGAAGGCCACTGCTTTCAGGCACTTCCTACTGCCTATTCCTGACCACCAGCTTCCTCATGGGAGAGGTAGTGCCCTGGCTAGACACTGCTATTCCTGCAGCAACAGCTGCCTGCTCTTTTGCAGAAGCCCCAAGACTAGACTGCTGCTCAGACCACTTCCCCTGACCTGCACTAACTGGGCTTCCAAGGCTCCAAGAAGCCAAAAAGGAGTTTCCTTAGCAACCTTCCACAGATGTGCTGTGCCCTACCCGCAGCACATCCGTGGTACACTGTGGAGCAACACTTCAAAATAACACCTATCAAATATGGAGACTGGTTCCTAAGCTGCAGTTGAGACCATGAGCCAGCTTCTACTCCCTGAATCAGGGCATGATCTGCAATGAAAAACTCTTGTCAACAGAAAACCTCCCCGTGATGACATCACCTACACAAAGCTGGAGCTCCCCATGCAGAATGTTCCAGGTAATCTTATATTTTGTGTCATAGTGATTAAAAAAAGTTGCCATAATTGCAGATATTTCTCAGCTCCCTTTGCACAAGGGCTTTCATCTCTTCCAAAAAGAGGCTTCATTGCTAACTGCAGTGTCATGATAGCTACCAATGCACTACATTTGCCCAGTGTTTACTCTGTGCTATGTCAAGACCAGTTTTAAACTAAGGGCAATCTAGGTCACTGCAAAGCTACAAACAGCTCTAGTTGGGCTTTGAAGTTGCAGTATGTGGCAGGCACTGGCCACAAAGCAAAGGAAAGGGACCCAGCCAGCCCTCATTCTTTGCCTCCAGACCTTTATTATTGTGACACCTGAGTGTGGCCTATGAACTCCCTCTCATATACTTATTAGCTCTGCCACAAGACCTCCACCGCCAGCTGCTCAGACCCTCTCCCACCACTTGTACTTTTGTTCAAATGATAGTGCTGTGTCACTTCCAAAAGGCTCCTAAGGAGACTGGGTGCAAGTGGCAATGAGCAGGCAGTCGTTCTGCAGGTCTGCAGTTAGCACCAGCAAGCACTGAGTTTATGCAAGTGCTCTATGTTCAAAAAAATCCAATGCTTATCTGCTGGAATGGCTTGTGTTGTTACACTGGTACATCAGCAGGTCATTTCTTACATGCATTTCACCACAGTGCTATTAGATCTTTTACATATGAAAAGACCTAACACAGCAAGCAAAGCCCCAGCTGTTGCCAAAGAACCTTAGCAGGCTCTGGGAGCTAAAATTAGGCAAAAAGTCTGTTGTGAATACACAGCCATCCTTCTTTTGATTTGGGTACCTTGAAATCAAAGGTCTACGAAATCGTTCTCAGATTATAGACAGAGTGGTTGTTATGCTTGAAAACTTGGTCAAAGATCTAAAGTCAAAGTTCCTACCTTGCTTCCACTGACGTTATGGAATTTCTTCTCCAAGATCTTCTTCACTGGATCCTCTTCCTTGAAGGTGATGAACACAAAACCCCTCCTTTTGTTGGTCTTTGGATCCATGGGAAGTTCAATTGCTTCAATCTGAAGATATGTAATATTACTTCAGACTCGTATTTTAGGACAGTGAAGTACATAATATTTGTGGCAGGAAAGCTGAAACTAAGTTTCACAGTCCCCCCATCTATGCATATTATGCAATACATTAGGAAAAAATATTTAACTAAATGGACTGAATCAAAAAAGACATTGTCTTGCTCAGCAGTGCAAGCATTCGGTGCAGTATCTGCTTTCCATGCTTTCAAGATGAGAAATTTCTTGGGCCAGTTATGAAAGATTTGATGCATCTGAACAGTTATGGTACTCTGTGGCATGCAAGCAATTAGTTCACTAATTTCTATGAGAGACTCCTCTATTTCAGCAGCTAAGATGATCTTACACACCTCTCCAAACTCTCCAAAGTATTCCCTGATTTTCTCTTCTGTGGCTTCTGGGTTAAGTCCGCCAACAAATATTTTCTTCACTGGATCCTTTTTCATTGCCATGGCCTTCTTGGGGTCAATTAATCGTCCATCTAGCCTGTGTTCTTTCTGTTCCAGGACCTGAAAGACAGTTTGGTAAGATTAACTCATCTGAAAAGTCTCACTGCAAGTTAAGAATCTGAAAGATGAATCTTCAAGTCACCTTTTCAACACTCCCAGGTTCTTTGAAAAGAATAAATCCAAAGCCTCTGGATCTTCCTGTGTTAGGATCCATCTTTATCGTACAGTCGGTTACCTCACCAAACTTGGTGAAGTAATCTTTCAAGTCTTTTTTGCTTGTATCCCAACTGAGGCCACCGACGAACATTTTCCTGGAATTTCAAGGAAACAGAGCCAGTTAGGTACTGGACATACCACAGAAAAGCAAATTCACCAAGATGCTCGTACGTATCACAGGCATTGTCAGAAACAGGACCTGCTGTAAAGGTTAATTTTTTTCTTTATTTTGACAAAAGCTATCAACATTACAGGACTGCACAAGGTTTTTCCTCTCTAATGCATATTTCAGCTTACTACAGATTTCAGAAACAGTAGATTTTGCCTAAAATATTCCTCACCAATAACTTACATTCTTTGAACAGTATTTGTAAAGTAGCACTGACCATAAAGCACTGCCAAAGTACTGCCAGGTTTTGGAAAAAAAGGAAATCTAGGGTCATCCTACTGCTTTGAAAGCATTCAGGCTACCTAAGGGCAGCAAAAGCAAAATATTTCAGCTCTATTACCATTTGGATAAATGGCTATGAAAATTATAATCCCCAAAACCATCTGCAGAATTTAAATCAAGTATCTGTGACCCCTAAGAACAGTTTCATACAACACATAGAACTTTGGACCTGCCTGTAACCAGCAGGTTATGTACTTCTTGCTGCTTAGCTACTGAATCTCATTTTATTTCACCAGTACTATAAATTCAGACTATTAGTCTCTACTTTTATTACTGTGCTTCTGTGGCCACCTTCCCCACACAGAATAGCCTCCAGAGTACATCAGAACAACTACCAGTGAAACACGCAACACAAGTGAAGCTAGTAAACAAAAATAAGGCCAACTAGTAAAGCACTTCTCAAAAGCCTCATTTCTTCAAATGAAAACATTAATAGCATGGCTGCATTTCTATTTTAAGAGTTTCCAAGGTAACAAACTTTAGCTTTTAAAAAGCATTTGAGCCTTTTTTTCTAACTATAGATTAAGAGTTAACTCTGTTAAACAGGCAATCTGTATTTGCCACTAGAAACTAACAACACTTTAGAAATGAGAATGCTCTTAAGCAAGATTGACTTTTGGTGCCACTGTGTAACTTGGATTTGCTAAAGCTAGCATCTGTTTATGCTCAAAGGCAAAAAGAGAAAGTATATATGTGCCCCCCCCTTTTTTTTTTTAATATTTTTCCTTCAACTAAAGGAAATATCTTCCAGGCTGAACCTGCAATTTTTCAGAAACTGTGTATGCTTAACAGACAACAGTCTGACCAAGGTGTATGCGTGTATTTTCATTTTTAAAACCATTACAAAAAAGCCTTGTAGAAAGGATTTTACACAACACTTCAAACAGCTTTTGACAATGTCTTAAAAGAAGGTAACTTGTTGGCTTCATTCCTATCAGAATAGTTTGCTAATCAAGAAGAATTCTGCAATACTACTATAATCTATACAGACTGACAATATTTATGTATAACATTTCTCAGCATCATTGAATGCAACTACAGAATAATCAAGAGAAATGGGGGTAGTTTCTTTTTTGGTAGAGGTGGAGAGAAATTCATCTACCATCTTAATTCTGAGCTAAGGGTAGGGCTACACACAGCTATTGCCACATACTAAAGTCAGCCTCTTACCCCAGCAGTAGATACTACACTTTAACTGACAGTACCATTTTGAAACCCTTGTGATCAATACCTGGGTAAACTTAAATAACATGCCAAAGCCTTCAAAATTGGAGCTAACAATCTTAGAGGTTATTTTGCTTCCCCTTCAGAGAGCCACACTGACTAAAAAAATGCAAACATAACACTACACTTTCCCCTCGCTGTACTAGTGCTCATAAACAAAGGTATGTTTCAGCTATTAAAGTGTTGTGCCTCAGGCTGCTCTCATTTTTCAATATTAATTTTCAGAGATGAATGCTGCTAGCTTTTCTTAGGAGGTGATACTTTTCCCAGAGATTTTGGGAAAAGTATCATCTCCTATGTGAAAAAGGGAAGAAAGAGACCATTTCAGAGCAGATCACTATTAAAGAAAGAAAAAAAAAAAAAAAAAGGAATTAAGAAGCTTGTACAGAGCTCACAAGCCCCAGTCCTTCTGGGGCTGCAAAAAGCATCCTGTCTGCGCTCCTGAGATGGGTCCAAGTCTGTCTTCTTCCCTTAAAGCTAAAGTTTATCATTCTACTGTGGCTATAGCATTTTGTTTAACTTGAAGCAAACAGCCCTTTGATTTAGGGCCCAATAATAACAGCTCGAATTAAATACATGGGGTCACTTGAATCACAAAGACCATCTGAAAAAACAGAAAGGTTTGGGGGAGGGGAGGGTGTTTGAGTCAGTCGTGTATATCCGTAAGTATACATTCATAATAAATATGAACAGATCAGCTACAAGAAAAAATAATTTGTGGATAAAGATACCGGTACGAAAGTAGAGGAAAACTACCCCAAGTCCTCTCAATAATGCTAAGAAATAAGCCTTTTTCTGACAATGCCGCGTGAAATGCACTAAAAGCACTCTCACTATTTTAGACCTAGCACACACCCCCTCAATCGTACTGTTTTCTGCTTTACTTTCTCCCCAAACCACCGAGCCTATCAGTGGCTTCCAAGCTCACGACGGCTCTTTTTCTACGTATTAACTAAAGAGGCTCGCGTCGACACCAAGAGCAGCGCAAATCGCCCGCGCAAGGGCCAGAAAGTTTGAGCCAACCCTCCTCTGGCCAAAGGGGACGACTCCTGCCCCGCCGGCTCCCTCCAGGAAAAAGGGAAAACAAAAGCGGAGCCGGGGAAAATCCCCTGCCATTTTCCAGCGTGCGACGGCAACAAGGACGCCC